AGCGGGGCATGCGCGGCACTGCCGGCCCCCCCGCTCCGCCCCGCTCCGCCCTGGCCGCGGCAGCCGCGGGACCCCCGAGCCCGCCGCTTTYCCGCCCGAAGTCGCTAGCTCGAGGAAACCCCCACGGCATTCCCAGTGCCCCTTTACGCTCCACTTCGCTCTTCGTGGAAATACATATATATATATATGTATGTGTGTATGTACTTATGTGTGTGTACATACCTATATATCACCATTTATACCCACTTTAAATACGTATATATATTGCATGTGTGCTTCTACTTGTATTTACAGGTAAATTAGTGCACCTGCATAAACGTGTATGTGTGAACATGTCATTGAGCACACACGGGCTCGGTCCAAACATCCGCCCCGCAGCTTTTCCACGAAGCTCCATCAGCAGCGGGACTCAAGGGATATCGAGGGACCGAGCGCGTCTTTCCCTGCCCCGGGGCGGTCGGGGCTCTCTCTGACTTTATCAGGAAGGATGATCCGCAGGGAAAGAGCTGCCCGCCGCGTGCAGTGCTCGCCTGGCGACGGAAGAGGGCAAGAAACGCGGTGGGAACGGGAGCAGCCCCGSGAATCCGGTTCGCGGGCAGCACCGGGCTCCAAACGCTCGAACGCAGCGCCCGTGAAAGCGCGAGGYTGTCCTCGGAGCCGCCCCGGGGCGGATGCTCCGAGGGGAAGGCGCGAMGGGCTCCCGGCCAGCAGCGCTGCTCGCCCGAGGGAAGGGGACGGGAACACCTGCCGCAAACCAGCTCCYTCCCGCTGCCCAGTTCCCGTTTTAGCTCCCGCAATCATCAGCAACTGAGCACAGGCAGCAGCAACGTCCTTTGGTAAATGATTAGCAAGGTGTACAGGGAAAATTGTGGGGTTTTTTTTCCAAATTGCATTGTTTTCTTCTTAGTCCCCTGCTTGAAATATTTCTTCTTCTTAACATGTTTTAGACATGTCAAATAAATGTTTGCTGAAAACGATACTTTTCCTACAATTTACCCTGAAAAACCTTATTATTTTTCAGTTCTCTACAGACCTCTTTCAAAAATGAAAGATTGATTGCAGCAGTGACTGAACCAGCTATGTGCTGCTTTTATTATTTATTTATGTATTGGCAAGGGATATGGGACTGTTTTTATATGAAAGCCATTTTTGTACCATTAAGAAGATATTTAAAATATTAAATACATCATTATTTTAAATACAGAAACCTTTCAAACAAGAGCCTAATTCTAAATGAATTTTTATAACAGCAAAAGATTTTTTTTGGTCTATTCAACATACTGATGCAAAGAATAATAGAAAAGGTCTTGAATGGACCTAATTGAGAAGAGTAATCAATATGTGGCAGCACTGATGGACTTGAAATTATGCTCAAATGCTGCATTTTCTGCATAGAATACTGTTTTGTGAATAACTCTTTGTATGGCATTTTCATCATTGCTAAACTTCATGGAAAACATACATATTCTCCAAAATGTGCTACCTAAATGCATATTTAAATTGTAGTGAAAGATGGAGTTTAGCCATGTTCATCTCCTCTCTCCATTTACCTTCTAAGTACATCACTGAGGAGATACTTTTGTGGCACAAATGCCACAAAAAATCTACATGGGCTAGATGAGCTTTACAATTTACATAACCAGAGAGCAAAATTAACATTTTTCTGAATTACCTGGCCAATTACAAGCAAAGATCCGTATTTGGGCAGGATTTGATAGGATTTAGCAGAAACCTGAACGTGAGCCCTCCAATAAGTGTCATGTAATGAAGTCAGTGACCCTTTCAGAGCTGGGTTCATTCTGCTGCTCCGTGAATCTGTGCATGGATCGTGACTGGAATGTGAGCAAACAGCTTTCGTACAGGTCACCTGCGAACACCTTCAAAGCACAGAACTGGGAGGTAAAGCGGGAGGTGCAGCAGTGTCTCTTCCAGCTGTCAGAAGTTGGTCGTGCCAAGAGACTGTAAACTCCTGTAAACTCTAATGGAGAATCAGGGAATTACATTAAAAAAAAAAAAAAAAAATCCCTACTCACAAACTATTATGTAAAAAGAAAAAATAGTAGATCCGTAATAACTGCTCAGCAAATTCTACACACAGTCTCTGGAATGCGGCTCTGGACAGTGCTTGCCCCTGTGTGTGACAGAAGGGGATGTATCATCCTTTGGAGGTATCTGCTCTACTAACAGGAGGAGGAGCCAGCCAAGCATATATTGGATGCCTTACAGACCTCTAAGCTTTAGCCAGAGAATCTCAGTCCCTGTGAAGCAGATTTTTTCACTGTCTTAGGCTGGGATTCATCCTGTGGCAACTCCTTAGTGCGGAATCGCAGAATTTATGTTGTGATTTCTCAGTGCACAGAACATCATCTTTCCTGCCCCTCTGCACATATTTACATAATATGAATCACGGCATACACATATTTTACCCCTGAACTGTAGGTTATATATCTTGACTGTGTCTCTTCATCACGTTTCATGCCTTTTTTTCTTATTTCCTTCCAACACACATATAGGGCTGTCTGTCTTGAGTTACGGTTACTGAACTGCAATACCTTTACCATCACTAGAACACAGCTGAAGTGGCAGCACATTCCTTTTTCTTTTATAATTGAGGCTAAATTATTAAAAAAACAATGAAGCAAACAAATAGTCACAATCACAAAAAGCTCCAAGATCTCGGGTTATACCTCACTCAGAACAAAAAAACACCAATCAATTCCTTATCGTATGATTTTCACAACTCTTTGCGCATGATTAAAACAGTTTAATACTTTCTTTGTAATAGCTCACACAGGCTCCCTGAAGTCAGGTCTATACTGGGAAGACAGCTCCATTAATTTTGTTGGCTTAAATAACTGGCCTCTGTATGTCCTCACAGCATGAAAGTATTTCTGCTTGTGCCACTGCTGCACATTGTCATGACTGTGTCAGCCAGAGCCAAGGCGTCCCTTAAACGGGGTCCTCTTGTCCCCCCCGGTATTTCCTGATACAACACCCAGTGATTCACTTCTTCTGTATATGCGGATGTTGGCACAAAGCCCAGGGAGTTATAGATGTTTGGAATCAGATTCCCACAGTTCTCTTTCTCTACTCTCCTTGGCTTTTGCATCTGTAACTTTTTGACTATAAAGAAATCAAAACAAAAAGGCAAATTCCCACAAAACCTCTCAAGTTCCTCAAACCTCCATCATTTCCTGACTTTTCTTCCCTTCTCTCACAAGACACTCTCGAAGAAGAGATGACAGAGATGGAAATAGGCAGGAGTAGCATGTTGAGAGAGAGTTGGTCCAGAAAAAGAACTCTGCATTCCCAGAAGAAGGCAGAAGAAAAAACATATCATGCTTCAAGAGAATTACAGGCAACAGGAATCTACTTTTCCTGCTGAGGAAGGAATCAAGATGGATTTTCCTGCACAAATATTACTTGCCTCACACCAGACACCGCGTGCACCTACACAAAGAGAAGATGGGCAATGGCAGCAAATGGGCACCTGCCAGTTTTGTTGACGACCTTCAGGAATTTTGCCACRCCAGTGCTTTGYACATGAGTGCCCCTACCCAGCTTGAACCTCCACTCCCTCTTTCCAATGCCCCTACCCTTTTTTGCTCATTTTATTTCCCTTTTCCATTTTATAGTTTGATGTAAATCCATTTTGTTGTCTGATGTTTCCCTATTCTCAAATATAATTACTTTAAAATACTTATGGCTTTTTGTGAAGCTTGCATGGGGGATGTAGCAATAAAGAAGCCAGACAGGTTCCAATTTCCTATGCCACAAAACGTTCTAGGGCCAAATACGATATGTAACTATTCAAAGAACAGTGCTGACGGCAGGGATGTGAGGTACTTGTTGCTCTATTATGCAAGATAACATTATTCACAGGTAGAACACACCGACAGTTCTATTAAAACGAGTATCCAGCAAGAACAAATCCTTGTGGGGGTTATTGGGTATCTGAAGTTAGACAAAATCACCCTCCTTTGCGTRGCCTGAGCCCTTCCATCAACTACGGAACAGGCCACCGTGACTCACCCGTCAAACACTTATGCTGCTGTAAACACGGCTGGTTCCCAGAGCTCTTCCCTGTCCCAAGCCTGTTGGTAGTCACTCTGGCTGTTTTCCTGGGAAATCCTGAGATTTGCACTCTCTTCCTTRCAGCTTCAATCTCAGGAGTTTGGAGTTGGTGTTTTTTGTATAGTTAGATAGCTGGGCTGTGATGGGTATTTATTTTTGGGAAAGCCTGATCAGGAGAGAAATGGCAGTGCAAATTAGCACCGAATGAGGTGCAAGGATCTAAAGCAGTGCATGGGGCGCTCAGTGTTGGGCACAGGGTCTCCCCTGCAGCAGTGCGGTGCAACCGGCACAGGCTGCAGTCAAGGACCTCCACAACTAAAGCATACTGAGAAAGTGACAAGATGACAGGGTGACGGGGGGGAAATTGCCAGGCGCCCCCGTCCCGGTAACGCAGAAACCCGCGCCCAAACGCAGCGGCAACGCGGTCCAGCCCCGCGGGCTCCCTGGGCGGGGCGGCCGCGGGGCGGGCAGCGACGCGGGACCCCCGGCCGGGCCGCCCCGTCGCGGGACTCAGCGCGGGGCC